AACTGTTGTATCAATATTTAGAATAATACATAACTGTCATATCACTATTTATAATTATACATAACTGTCATATCACTATTTATAATTATACATAACTGTCATATCACTATTTACAAGAATACATAACTGTTGTATCAATATTTATAATAATACATAACTGTCATATCACTATTTACAAGAATACATAACTGTCATATCAGTATTTATAATAATACATAACTGTCATATCAGAATATTTAACAATACATAACTGTCATATCAGTATTTATAACAATACATAACTGTCATATCAGAATATTTAACAATACATAACTGTCATATCAGTATTTATAAGAATACATAACTGTCATTTCACTATTTATAGGAATACATAACTGTCATACCATCAGTATTTATAAGAATACATAACTGTCATATCACTATTTACAAGAATACATAACTGTCATATCAGTCTTTATAACAATACATAACTGTCATATCAGTATTTATAACAATACATAACTGTTACATGAGTATTTACAAGAATACATAACTGTTGTATCAGTATTTATAATAATACATAACTGTCATATCAGTATTTACAAGAATACATAACTGTCATATCAGTATTTATAACAATACATAACTGTCATATCACTATTTACAAGAATACATAACTTTCATATCAGTATTTATAATAAGACATAGCTGTTACATCAGTATTTATAAGAATACATAACTGTCATATCAGAATATTTAACAATACATAAATGTCATATCAGTATTTACAAGAATACATAACTGTCATATCAGTATCTATAATAATACATAACTGTTACATCAGTATTTACAAGAATACATAACTGTCATATCAGAATATTTAACAATACATAACTGTCATATCAGTATTTATAATAATACATAACTGTTACATCAGTATTTACAAGAATGCATAACTGTCATATCAGTATTTATAAGAATGCATAACTGTCATATCAGTATTTATAAGAATATATAACTGTCATATCAGTATTTATAATAATACATAACTGTTACATCAGTATTTATAACAATACATAACTGTCATATCAGTACGTATAAGAATATATAACTGTCATATCAGTACGTATAAGAATATATAACTGTCATATCAGTATTTATAAGAATATATATCTGCCATATTAGTATTTATAAAAATATATATAACTGTCATATCAGTTCATAGGAGAAAGGAAACATCAAACAGCGTAAGTCACTATGAAGATAAAATCTCAAAACCTATCCAGGATCAAAATTTGGAGCCCTTTATCTAAACACCTCAAACCTGGATATATATCTTTATACACTTTTGTCACAACCAGCCACATAACTGAATGCCAGAGAAAATGTTCCACCATCTGTACCGTTTCGTTGCCATCAGAAATGAAGGGTCCAACAGGTAGCATCGTATAAGGAGGACTCTCTCTGTTATAGAAACCAACCAAGGTGGCATCTTTAGGTGTCCGAAACCGAGCCAGAACTGTATAGTTTCCCTCTACGTCACCATTGTCGTCTATGTTCATCCAGATACCAGCAACACCTGGATGTCAGAGAAACAGTTCATTACTAAACATTACTGATGTCTGATAAATTTTCAAACATACATTACTAGCACGTTATTTTTAGTATTTGTTGGATATTACAAGGTGTCTATAATTTCTAATTAAGATATCAATTGTATACTTATACTTATTTACAATGTGTAAAACTTTAAATTCCCATATTTTTTCTTCTTTTAAAGCTCTAGTGGATCTGATAAGTAAAATTTTTGATAATTAAACATGCCAGTTTACTAATTCCTGCCATAAGTCACTTGTATAAACTAAGGAGGTTTAATTGCACTAGATAAGATCAATGTCTACCCTTGACAGCATTGTTCAGGTCTTCATATATATAGGAGATAAATATGAGGCCCCTTAACTGATTCACTAAAGTATAAATCATGCAACTTGTTTTGATAAGTTTGCGACTAACTGTCTATCTGGACTTACTTTAGTTGTATACACCTACTTGGATATCGTTTTTTTTCAATAATATGTTTGATGACTAGCTTGCCATCCCTTGGGTCACCTTCTGCTTTCAAGACTTTGGCTAAAGCTTCAACGTACAGTCGCACTGCGTCATACAGGTATGCTGCATAGACTGTAATGTGCTGGTGGACAAAACAAAATAACAACAATAACCCGAGGTTTCAATGTATTACAACCTAGAACTTGAAAAGGTTTTTCATTGTACAAAACTTGAAGATAGCTTTGATATACGGAAACATCTGTTAGCTGAGTTCTTGGTCAGATCTTAAAATATAACATTCATCGCTATTTTCAAGTTTTGAACGACTCAACTTTCAAGATCTGTGCAAGAACTCAGCTATCAGATGTTTCCGTATATCAAAGCTATCTTCAACCTAGAACTTCCACTATAAGTAGTAAGTCACATCCTCACAATGTTATACGGTTTCAAGTTATCTGTTAGTACATTAAGAACGCATCCTCACAATGTCTTAGGATTTTAAATTATTTATTAATATATTCAAAACAATGCATCATACTTTAAGTAGATTACTTAATTCAAAGGGTCTTAGGTAAAGATGATTCCAAAGAAAACTATCTATCTAAATAACCATACCTGAAAAACTAATCTAAATAACCATACTGGAGAAACTACTTATCCTAGCAGAACAAAGTTAGAGCAGAGGTACACTAAGATTTATCAGTTTGATTCAAGACAGTTTGAATGTGGTAGTGTATGTTTCAAAACCATACTATATTACATACTGAAATAACTTTCATGCAAGCTAGATTGTATTTCTCTTCTCTCTCACTGTTTCAATGACTTGAGATTAATGATTTAAATAAACTGTTTGTCAGTGTGCAGACAAGGATCAGTGTATGAATCAGATGATGTCTGAGGGAATAACCCTGATATATTGAGGTGGAATGAACACCTTCTCAGATAATCGTGATATATTGAGGTGGAATGAACACCTTCTCTGACAGTTTTCTAAACATCCTGCAGTATGTGTCCCATTTCAAGTATGTTACACAAGTTAATAAGAATATGGTGTCACATTTCAGGTATTACATGACCTAATAAGAATAGTGTATCACACTTCAAGCATGTTACACAGCTTAAGAAGAGGAATGTATCATATATTTGATTTTAACATTAATTAATAAGAACACTATGTGTCACACTATTGGTGTTAAATTATTTAATAACAACAGTGTGTCACATTTAAAGTATTACATGATTAATGTTATGAGGTCTGTTTCAATCTCAATTTTCAATTAAAAACAATATCAGTCCAAAACTGCGTTAGAGCCTAATACTGTACATTTTACATCTATATTTATGGAATGAAACAGTATCAGTCCACGATTATGTTTAGGGTACAAAACAGTGTCAGTCCACAACTATGTTTAGGGTATAAAACAGTGTTAGTCCATAACTATGTTTAGGATATAAACAGTATCAGTCCATAACTATATTTAGAATATAAAACAGTGTTAGTCCATAACTATGTTTAGGACATAAACAGTATCAGTCCACAATTATGTTTAGGATATAAAACAGTATCAGTCCACGATTATGTTTAGGGTACAAAACAGTATCAGTCCACGATTATGTTTAGGGTACAAAACAGTGTCAGTCCACAACTATGTTTAGGGTATAAAACAGTGTTAGTCCATAACTATGTTTAGGATATAAACAGTATCAGTCCATAACTATATTTAGGGTATAAAACAGTGTTAGTCCATAACTATGTTTAGGACATAAACAGTATCAGTCCACAATTATGTTTAGGATATAAAACAGTATCAGTCCACGATTATGTTTAGGGTACAAAACAGTGTTAGTCCATAACTATGTTTAGGATATAAACAGTATCAGTCCATAACTATATTTAGAATATAAAACAGTGTTAGTCCATAACTATGTTTAGGATATAAAACAGCATGAGTCCACGATTATGTTTAGGGTATAAAACAGTATCAGTCCATATTTATGTTTAGGGTATAAAACAGTGTCAGTCCACAACTATGTTTAGGATATAAAAAGTATCAGTCCACAATTATGTTTAGGATATAAAACAGTATCAGTTCACAACTATGTTTAGGGTATAAAACAGTATTAGTCCACAACTATGTTTAGGATATAAAAAGTATCAGTCCACAATTATGTTTAGGATATAAAACAGTATTAGTCCATAACTATGTTTAGGACATAAACAGTATCAGTCCACAATTATGTTTAGGGTATAAAACAGTATCAGTCCACAACTATGTTTAGGGTATAAAACAGTATCAGTCCACAATTATGTTTAGGATATAAAACAGTATTAGTCCACAACTATGTTTAGGATATAAAACAGTATCATTCCACAATTATGGTTATGATTTATTATTTGTGTTCCTAAATGATATACATTCACCTTTTTGAGATTGGGTCTGGGAGAAGCAAAATTAAAAGGAGGCCGTTCATTGTAGAGTCGAACTTTATCTTTGAACTTAGTGTAGTTTTCTTCTGTTGGTGGACTAGGAACTATGACAAGTAAAGATTGAGCTGCCTGCATTGCAACCTTGGCATCATTGTCCAGAAGATCTGAACCTAAATGTAAGGGAAAAACACTTCTTCTGTTATTATCTTATCAAAATGGAGAGAGCATTCCTATCTACCTCCAGTTAGTCTAACATACCGAAACCAACTATCAGTAGTTTATATCCAGAATTAAAAATAAAAACTCAGTAAACTTTATAGACTGGTCTTATAAAGATATTATCACATCATACAAAAACAAAAGATTATAACCATTGGAGAAAACTGATCCATTATTGGATACCGTCATCATTATCAACATTTTTGGCCATAATCCCAAACGAATTCACGTTCACCTCTAAACAAATAAATTT